GTGAGTTTTCTCTTTTTTGCTCCTTTACGAACACAATTTTGCTTTTACAACCGTCCCGGACCATTAGACACTTCATTAAAGCAAATGAAATTGATAGCTCAATAATGGGTCTATAAAAGTCTAGAGTAACTACCTAGGTAATACTGAGTGGAGAAATCAAACGAGAAATCATTGAGTCTCGTTAGACCTACTGCCAAAAAGACATTGTGGGTCCTATTTTTCAAATATGCAGGTCAATTCAAGAAACAAATTCTTTTAGCTTACGTTAAATAAGCGCTGTCACTTTCCGTCAAATAAGTGAAAGTGACAGCCCTGATTGAAGTTAAGTAAAGAGAATTTATTTCCCGAATTGGGACCTTAATCTTACCAACTAAACTTGTCACTAATAAAACTAGACCCACTGACAAAAGATACAAAGTCCGCATAAAAAGGACAAATATTTAATACTTAGGAACTATTGAAACATTATTAATATTTATCACTTTTTGAATGTATTCTAGTCTGGTTAGGACATTGCAGGCTGAACCACCTGATTATTCGAAAAGTAAGATGGTTCCGTGCTTTGGATGGGCACGTTAAGCCGTCGGTTCCGGTTGCTGTCTATGATGGCGGTCGTTACACAACCATGTCAGAGGCCTGCTACTTGTAGTAGGCGGTTGAAAAACTCTGACACCAGGGTTCATCGGGTCGTTGAATGACTCGGTGTCCCACACGAAGAGAGAGAGCCTCAATGTCCCTAAATAGATAAAGACTAATAAGACCCACTCGGTCTTACCGACAGTGTGTCAAATAAGTTAACAACTCAAATCTTTGTAGTTACAGATTTTATTGCGAAGGTAAGTTCGTTTTATTGGGTACTGCAATACGTTCAGTGCTTTAAAAAAGTTAAACTAGTTTTGAGGTAAGTTTGTACCGTTTTGAGAACTAAGATCAATATGAAAACTCTATATTGATATTGCTTTTGCCAGGTAAGTATTCCTTTATTGATATTTCCTTTTATATAGCCTTTTTATTGAAGTTTGGCTTTAGATAAATTGGCTTTTTCTTTTATAAAGCTTTCATAATTACGCCGTGCCGTGTGAGAATAGCATCACTAGCATACCTTTCTTTCCCATGGATGTTACAAGAAACTACTTAGGGATTTGGGAGTTGATGTGTATTGCAATTTTAGGCGACAGGAAGACAACCTGTCTAAGTACATGATTATACACAGTCTTCTGCACGACTCTCAATATTTTTGCCACACTTGCTGTAAATGGCAGTTCTTACAGCCGTTTACGCTCTGTCTGCGTAATATTTGTATGTATGTATAATTACGTCACAGGCAAGATTTGAACCTGTTTCTCGATCTCAGTAATAATGCTGCCTCTATCCGCTGTAATTTTTCAAGATCTTTATTTAATAGTGGGTAGATAAGAAAATATTTCTTAAATAATACCTACCAACCCAAAGTATTAAATTATTAAAGATGTCAGATTAAATACGGCTCAGTAAGACTAGGTATTCTCTGTTATAATAAATTGAAATACGCAGAGAAGTTTGAATACATTCGCTGGCATGTATCTACAGTACAGTATGGAAATAAGAAGAAGAGCTATGAAAAATTCTGTTGTTCATCCAATGTTTTTGCGCTGGAACAAATAGGTACAAAACAACGTCGTCAGCGAAAAACACAAGTAACGTCTGTTTGTGCGTTATTTTTGCGCTGCGTTACGCATGATTAGGACACGGATTTGAACTTTATTTTCATACAAATACGGTTTATGACAAACGGTTTGACAAAAACATCTGTCGACACAGCGTTATGCGATACGAAGCGCTAGCAGATGCGTCTGCCAAACCATTTGAAATAAACTGACTTTGTATGAAAATAAGGTGGGAAGTTTGCTTACGCATGCGATAACGCTGCGCAAACGGACGTGACGTGTGTTTTTCGTCGTATTCTTTCGCCAGATAATAAAATTACTCGCCGCGTAGCACAAATAGTAACTAACTAATTAAATATTTACTCCTCTTGATTATTTACGAAGATATTTTCCTCTCTCATATTTTTTGCTTACGAAAAATCATCCGCATTTTTTCCTCGTCAGGAAGATTAATGAGTATTTGTGTTCTTCTTGTGTTACACTGCTTATTAGGAACGTTAATTATTGGATTGAAAAATGTATTTTGTATCCGACTCCAACAAAGGGAAGGGATGGTACTGGATGGTGAAAACGGGAGATTGTGCTTTGTGGCGTACACTTCTTATTTTCGAGTGGGGCATCTGGTCGTCCAACGACTCGATAAATTGCTACTAGACTGATGTCAAGATTTTGAGCAAAGTAAAATTATCATTAGAAAACAAACAAAATCATGTAGCAAAAGGATTTGGTAATGTTTTATGACTGCCCGCCTGCCTGACGTCAACCCTCTTTAGGAATGCTATTGTATCAGTGGTATCTCCGCCAGTTGCGGTTGACAATAACTAGTCGACAAATATTCAGCTGAAGTGAAAAACTCTACGTCGCCTTTTATGAAACACCCTGAGTGGACAAGGCGTAGCAGTACTCTTAGTCACTACCACATGGTTCCAGTTTTATCCAGGTGTATCGGCTCAAACTACAGAGCCTCGCATTTGCGTGTGAACCCGTATATAACCGCATGAAGACAAACAAGTCGCTTCATCGGGCATTCCCTGTAAACCATGCACTTATGCATCCGCTTGTACATGTCAAACATCGCAGCACAATAGAAAGCAAACGACGGCTAGATCGGACTTCCAATTCGAAATGATGGGGGCGAATGGAAGCCGCTTCCTACACGTGTTGCATAGTTTCCGGGCCCAGGTTTTCCGTTTCATAAAAATCGTACAACATTGACAACTATAGTAATAAGCTGTCAGATTGTCACCTACGATTCCAATACACATGACAACTATGCAAGCTACTTTTGTGACAGCCGTTAGTGCCTCGACACACTACGACCGAAATTCGGCGGCTGAATTCCTTTCCGTCAGTTTTTGGCGATTTCGGTTGGGGTGGACACACTATAAGCGCCGAAATTACGCACAAATTACGCCGAATTAATTCGGGCCAAATTCTGGCGACGGAACTTCGGCTGAAGTGTGTCATCCGTAGGTAATGCAAATAATATTGCTGGCGTAATTGCACCGAATTCCGTCGCTTAATTTCGGTCGTAGTGTGTCGAGGCACTTAAATAAACAGATTATCATCAAATAACAAGAGGTCACAAGTTGTCATTCCTATGGCGGCTACGGGTCCAGATTATAACATCGAAGGTCGTTACATGGAATGTCGCAACATCGACAACGCTGCATCGAAAGGTCGCCACATCGAATGGTCGCCAAATCGAATGGTCGCCACATCGAAAGGACGCTACATCGAAAGGCGGCCACATTGAATGGTCGCCACATCGAAAGGCCGCCGCATCGAATGGTCGCCACATCGAAAAGTCGCCACATCGAAAGGTCGCCACATCGAATGTGCATTACATTGAAGGTCGCCGTGTCGAATGTTTCTGCATCGTATAATGCTGTATTGAATGTTCCTCGTCAGGTGAATGGATCACCGGATTGTAAGGGTTCATCGGGTTGTAACTTTGACTTTGATAGTGACTATGATAGTAACTTTGATAGTGGCTTTGACAGTGACTTTGACAGTCCTAAGTCGCAAGTCGCAAGTTTAGAGTCAAAGTCAAAATTAAAGTCAAAGTCAAAGTCACTGTCAAAGTCACAATCTAATCACTGTCAAAGTCATAATCAAAGTCACTGTCAATGTCACAATCAAAGTCACTGTCAAAGTCACTGTCAAAGCCACTGCCAAAGTCACTATCTAAGTTAATGTAAAAGTCACTGTCAAAGCCGCTGTTAAAGCCACTGTCAAAGTCACTATCCAAGTTACTATCAAAGTCACTATCAAAGTCAAAGTTATAACCCGATAAACCCTTACAATCCGATAAACCCATTCGACCCGATGAACCCTTACGACCCGATGAACCCTTACGACCCGATGAACCCTTACGACCCGATGAACCTTTATAACCCGATGAACCCTTACGACCCGGTGATCCATTTACCTGACGAGGAACATTCAATACAGCATTATACGATGCAGAAACATTCGACATGGCGACCTTCAATGTAATGCACATTCGATGTGGCGGCCTTTCGATGTGGCGACTTTTCGATGTGGCGACCATTCGATGCGGCGGCCTTTCGATGTGGCGACCATTCGATGTGGCCGCCTTTCGATGTAGCGTCCTTTCGATGTGGCGACCATTCGATTTGGCGACCATTCGATGTGGCGACCTTTCGATGCAGCGTTGTCGATGTTGCGACATTCCATGTAACGACCTTCGATGTTATAATCTGGACCCGGCGGCTGGCGGCTACCACTAACCGCATATCATCCGGTACGTGTGCAATTCCCCGTTTTGATTCAAGCGTCCGTTTGCCCAGCACCCGCCGTGGACTGCAGCTTGACTGTTATCTGAATGGAGTTGAATGCTATGCACTCGTGTACCTGTCTGTACTTTGATAAGTAGGTAAATAGATGGGACAAAAATATTTGAAGACTAGAACTATGCACTTGTGTACCTGTCTGTACTTTGTTAAGTAGGCAAATGGATGGGAAAAAATATTTGTATACTAGAACTACGTACTTGTGTACCTGTCTGTACTTTGTTAAGTAGGTAAATACATGGGACAAAAATATTTGAAGACGAAATTATGCTTTCAAATAAAGACGGATTTTTCGGTAATTTTATGCTATACCAGCCTGTCTACACGCCAGTAGCCAGTAATACTTTCACCACAGTGCATTTGTTTTTATCATAATATTTTGTTATAATCAAAAAGCTTCATCATAATTATGGTTTGAATTCCTGCTGTAATGTGGATTAAACAAAGTATTTAGTTGTAAAAACAACTTCTACATGTTTCTTTAATCGTCGCTTCGAGACGAGCATGAAGAGGTTGAAAAATTCATCAGCGTCAGCCAGGTAATAAGTAGCTCAGTTGGTAGAGCAGTTGAATGGCTCTCCACGGTCCCGGGTTCAATTCCCGGCGGTCACTGATAAATTTTTCAATTACCTTATTTTCAATTTAACAGAGTTTGAATTTGAAATCCTTGAAACGCGTAACGGAGAGGTATTGCTGATACAACTACACAAAGATATTCAAAGTTATGATGGAGACGTCTGCAATATAAACTCTTATTCTTAGCCGAGAATAGCAAAGTTTATCAAACAAGGAAACTTTCAGCGAATAGCGAAAGCAATAACTAGAAAAGAGTCACTAGTTTCTTAGGTAAATGTAAAAGGAGCTTAGCTTACTATGAAGTGAAGGCAAAACTTAAAACTTATTTATGAAATACATGCGTAAAGTATAGATTTTCCATAAACCTCGTTTTTAACAAACCAAAAAATAAGTACGTATATAAGGTTGTACATACATTAAAACATGAAAGTAATTCAGTTAGTATATTATTTGAAATTAGTTGTAATGCTGAAACTTAATAAAAGCGAAAACCATTTTCCTCAGTAGCTTATGATTTGTTTTCACTTATGTCTAATGACTCAAATGTAAACCAGTTACCTACAAAATATTGTTTTTGTTTAAGTCACACGTGAACACTATTAAGGCTGGAACAAGCAGATGTATTAATAAAAAACAAAAAGCCGACTTCGGTCATTTTAAAGTTGTATTTTCCTATAAAAATCCGCCATCTTAAATTAATGAATTTGTAATATAGCCAGTGTCACTTGCGCTGCTGCTGAGACGAATCTAACGACACCTCATATGTCAAAATCCGAATTTTCTTGTCGACATACATACATATATATTTTTGAAAAACATAACCCTCCTTCTGAGGCGGTCGGGTAAAAATTACATGTAAGGATGGTCAAATGCATTGACAAGGAAATGATGAAAGCCATGACTGTCACCCAATACACGGTACTTAGTTTTTCTGAAGGCTACCTCTAGGCTAATCGCCGGTCTGAGCAGACAGAAACAATAGCGGAACCCACTCAAAACCAGGCTAGGGAAACCGCGATTAACTTAGATTCTCTTCCTTTGTCTCCGCGTTTAATATCCTTAAGTGGACGTAGGCAATTTTAGAGAGAGCCAAAAAAAGGAATTTTCCGTAATTTGCGGGATTCACTCGCGATAAATGAAATGAAACTTTTTGATGAGGATAAAAAGCGGAGGATCTCGAATCCTTGAAGATGGGATTTTGAATTATTGCACTAAGTATTCAGCGCCCGTGGTCGCGAGAGGACTGATGATGGATGGGTAATGTAATAAATGATTAAGATATTGAATTGTTCTTACATGACAGTAAAGTTTTCCATCCTAACTGTCACATAAAACATAATCTATTCGTATCAAAATCTAAGTACTACCCGGGTACTTGAAAACTTGTAAAACAAACCCGTTGATCAATACCACAAAAAAGAGAGTTTACAGGAGGTGTACGCGACATTATTTGGGATTTTTGCGATTGACACTTGTTACATAGCCAGGGTTGCTACTATCAAAGACCTCAAAGTATAGAATATCAAAGCAGCAAAACCTGATACTAGAACGTCATACGATTCTGAGCCAGTTTTTATCCAAGAAATAAGACGTTTAAGGAAACCATCTCCTTAGTCACCTTGAGCTCCCCTGAAATTCCAGTTGTATCCAGTTAAAGTCAGTAAGCGTCAAAATCGTCGCTAGCACTGAGTGCACAAAATAGAGAGTTTACAAAAGGTTCACTCGGTCCTATTCCGGATTTTTACGATCGGCAATAATTGTCACATAGCCGCAGGGTTGCTATTGTCAAAAATCTCAACGAATAAAAATATCAAAACAGCAAAATGTGACAAGGAACGTGATATGATTCTGAGCCTATTTTAAATCAAAGAAATATGATGTTCGTGACAATCGCCTCTTTAGTTACCTTGACTTCCCCTGAGATTCCGGTTATTTCCAGTTAAATTCAGTAAGCGTCAAAATCGTCGCTAGCACTGAGTGTATAAGCGCCCTGCACGCCGTCTCCCTAATTTGTGTCAATACGTTCAATTTGAAACGTCTATTATTCCGGTTTGTACCGGAAACAGCCTTCAAATCGACTGGAAACGGATCCTTCAAAAGATACGCACCGTCAAAACATTGTATTATACTTAAAATTATGTAATATTTTGGTGCGCCAACCAATCAGTGGTGCTCAAAGTTATCATAAGATTTTTTTTCCTGTATTAGGACGTGTTCATAATATGTAGGTATGCGTGCTCTACCTACGTTGGTTGTGCGCGTGCATGTAAGTACAATATCAGCTTGCGATCCGCACAACACGTGTAAACTATGCTTGCGAGTTATTTCAGTATATTATTTGTTATCTGGTTACCATTCTTAGTGAAAGCTAGCTTGCTTAGGTGCCTGATTCTGCTGTCACTGTCTTGTCTTGTAAAGGGATGTTTATTATTGACAATAGTCTATGATTAAAACTAGGAATCATAACCCTCCTTTTTCCTTTGCTGTATTCGGGTAAAAAAATAGTCATTTTAACGCTTTTTTCGAGTACGTAAATAGCGCACTGTCTCTTGCGTCAAAAAAAAAACATATTTTTATTTAAATCGAAATTAACCTTAACCTTAACAGCCACAACAGTCCACTGCTGGACATGGGCCTCCCCCGTATTGGGGCGTATTGCCATACTCACCACGCTTGGCAGGCGGATTGGCGAGCGCAGTGCAAGATGTTTAATTCACAGGGAACGCTGCTGCCCATTCCCTGGATAATTACCCCTTAGTCGCTTTTTACGACACCCACGGGTAAAATTGGGGTGATGCTATTCTAGGCCGGCATCACACGGTATCTAAATTATGCTTTTTTAATTCAACTAACAGTTTAAGAGCCACTGTAATCATCTCTGAACATCGTAAATATGAAGGAAAGTGACATTATCTCGTGCCATAACGTCCGGTGATACGTATTAGGGAAATAAGTCACTTTTATAGAGTTCGCTAGGAAATTTAAGAGATGTAAAGGTCGACATAAATAACGTGTCGGACAAGAATGATTACGATATGGTGCGGTGGTAGTTTGTTTGTCAATGCATAAGGCCCGGGTTCGATTCCCGGCTGCGAAAGATATTTGAATGATAGATAATTATTTATTATCAAAATTGTTTAATGACGTGTATATGAACAGTGACTAAAGTCAAAAATTTGTTGCCAAAACAAGACAAAAATACAGATATCAGGCTTAAAATTTTAAAACGGATATCAGTTATTCTTAAAATCTAATCTAACCTTTACAATAAAGTTTTTTAATATCAGTGTAATTATTACTTTTTTTTTATTATTCATTATTACTTCAGCATAATACTACAATACAACACTTTCGATGAATAATGAACCTGTAGGTAGGTACTTACTTATAAATATCTTCCATCATCCTTGATATCAAATTTCATTTCTAATACTGGCTAAAAATTAATCTAAATCATATTAATTTTAACAAGAATGGATTTATTAAACGTTCCGCTGGAGTTGAAAGCCTCTGCAATCAGGCGAAACAAGCCGGCTATTTTCCTATAATTCACAGGATTAAGGGACCCCAAGGCTTTGGCAATTTATTTTAACCCTTTGACAGCCAAGTGTGTCACTGTGTGATTTAATAAAAAAAAGTGTGCTCAGTCTTCTTTTTCTTCTTCTATTGGGAAACCGAGTCGTCCAATGACCTGATGAACCCTATTGTCAGAGTTTTACAACTGCCTAGTGCAAGAACACTGGTGTGACTTAATGAAAAAAAAAAACGTGTGTTCAGTCTTCTTTTTCTTTTTCTAATGGGAAACCGAGTCGTCCAATGACCTGATAAACTCTAGTGTCAGAGTTTTTTTTTTCAAGTACAAGAAGCAGGCCTCTGATATAGTTGTGTAACGACCGAGTAATCATAGACAGAAACCGGAACCGACGTATGTGCAGTTTTAACTATGGGTACTTTTATTCATGAACAATGTTATTTTGAAAAATTACCTGAGTTATATTTTTAAATATAGGTAAGTAATTGAATTTTTCTGACTTTAAACGCAAAAGTAACCTACTTGGTATCTAAATTTAAACAATAACTTATTTATAAGGAACCTTTAGCTGATGAATTAACTTGGATGGTATAATTTAGTTGTTCCGTATCCAACCCACGATGGCTGTCCTTCAGAATTATATTCAAAACGACAAAATATTTCTTAAAATAAGATAGCAGCTTTTGTGTCAAAAGGTCTCAGTTTACGCAAATGCTCAAGTTCATCAAAATTTGCATATTTTCATCATATTTGTCTCCTAAAGCTAATTTACATCACTTAATGATTTTTATTATATTTAAAAAGGACCGACGAAGGCTTTTTGAGTGCAAGACCCAATTTCGAAATACAATTTGTCGATTAATGCTTCTTCGACTGAACAATGGTTCGAAACGATTTTTAACCGAAAGCAGTTTATAGCGAAACAGCAGAACATCGAAAGACTTATTACTCGACTAACACCAAATCGACTGAACGATATATCGAAAAGTTTTATTTCGATGAACTTTAAAGCGACAATTACCAAATCGACTGAACGATATATCGAAATGTTTAATTTCGATGTACTTTAAAGCGACAATCACCAAATCGACTGAACGATATACCGAAAAACGATCAGCAGTGCTGACTATGGTGCTGACCGCCTTCTGATACTAGTTCAGTGTAGTAAAGTGACAGATAGCAGAAGTGATTATGTTTCTCTAGCTTACTTGTTTATTTGCTCTTCTTGGTTCAAGAAACGCCTGCATCTTGCGCTTTTATTCTCTCTATTGTGAGGTAATTCAGAGCTTTTTCTTCCTTTTTCCTACTCAATAATGGATTTGAAAATATTCTATCTTCCTTCCAAGTAGGACATTTCACTGTTGGTGCCAGGATTCTACAGAGTTTTGAGAATTGGGGTGTCGGTTTCTAACTTGTTGTAAATAGACCATGTCCCTGGCGTAAAAACTACAAAATAGACAGTTTACAAAAGGAGAGCTCAGCTCTTTTCCCGATCATTTACACGC